TAGTTTTTTAAATTTTTTATTAGGGGAGAGAGAGAGAGAGAACATGTGAGGGTAAATTATACTATGCACCCCTGCACTTTACACAAAATTTCACTTTAGTTCCTACACATCAAAATTGTGACACTTAACCCCCTAAAGGATAACTTCTGTTAGCCTTACTATTAACAAAAGGGCCAATGTGACACTTTTGATAGGATAACTTCTGTTAGCCTTACTGTTAACAAAAGGGCCAATGTGACACTTAATCAAAAGTGCAGGGGGTTAAGTGTCACAACTTGATGTGTAGGGACTACAGTGACATTTTGTGTAAAGTGCAGGGGTACAAAGTGTAATTTACCCTTTATACTATATATATCTATATATAATATCTATATCTAGTGTAAGAAATAATGTATAGAGAAAGAGAGAGAATAAATTGTATGTATTATTATTGATTGATATATATTGATCTCTATTACAATGATTCATGATTCCTATATATAGAAGAGGGTGAGTGTGTAGTAGGTAAGGAGTAGGTGAAGTGGAGGTGGTAGTGGTGTAGTGGGTTAGGTTTAGTGGAGTAGGTTTAAGTGGGTGAAGTAGGTGGAGAGTAGGTGGATTTTAACATCTAGGTTAGATATATATATATGTTTGTGTATATAAACAGAGTCGAAGAGAGAGACGAGAGAAATAGGCGAAGCGAGAGAGAGAGAGGTCGATCAAAAGCGAAGGAGAAGACGAAGGTTGAAGGTCAAAGGTCGTCGAAGCTCGTCGAAGGTCAAAACTTCAAACTTGACTGGTTAGGGCAAATACTAGGTACTCCTCTCTTTTTTGATCGGCACCAAGTGCTCTTCTCTCCTCTCCTCTCCTCTCTTCTCTCTTTCTTCTCTTCCGTGTCCCGTTGTGCCCCACACCCAAAAAAACAAAAAAAAAAAAAGGGACACGCGATATGTGTCCATGGTGTCCCCCCGTGTCCCAACGTGTCCTCATTTCAGACACCGCTACGGCACTAAGTTTGCCATGTCCGTGCTTCATAGATTAATAATGTTCATTAAAAAATTGAACGAAAGTCCAGGGAATAGTGCTCTAATCACTCCTCCGCTCTCATGTTCATCTCCCCTACAATACGACATCTCTCCACTATCGCCAATCCACTCCTCATGATCACCAAACCACTCCGGCCATTTCTACCACCGTCCAATGCACCTATCTTCCCCACACCCCCTTTACTATCCACTCACTTTTGGTATCCAATTGTGGACACCACACTTGTGTTACCTAGAACATGGATCGTTCCGGTACGGGAACGCAATACGTTACATGCTCTAAAATGTGGTACGATAGGGGTAGACTTGTATATATTATATTTAAGAATTTGAGATATTTTTAGAGTAATTTTCTTTTAACTATTAAGCATCTAATAAAATATATTATTACTTTTTCTCATTTTTTATGTTTTTGTCTTGTCAAAACATAACTCACCTTAGATTTTAATTCATTATATTTATTTTTTTTTTCCTCCTAAATTAACATTTATGGAAATATATTGAAAAAAACTTTTGGGATCACTTCGGAGCACTAAATTTACCGTTTTGGAATGGAAGTGTACCATGTTTCGGAACGTAAGTACCAATACGTAATTCGCTAGGGGATTAACGTTTTCTGGTAACACAGCACCACACCCTTTGAGCGCACTCACACATCAGATTTGACTCTTTCTCATATTGATTGTGAATCATCCAAACCTAAATCAGACAATAAATTGTAATTTTTCCCACAAATCATTGGATTCCACTATATTGAGCAACCCACAATTGCCAAATATAGACTGATTCACAAAAGTTGGAGTTGCCACCTAATTTTTATGAGGAAACTAGGAAACCCTAATGCCATGTTAATTTTGGCCACCGATTCATCATCACCAGAAATCTTGGCTCGAGAGTTTAGATACGAGAGATAAAAAATCATTGACTGAGCAACTCCTCTCAGTCAATCTCAATCCAACGGATTGACCTCTACTAGTTTTTTTTTTTAGAGATTTGTTTCCTTATTTCATTCTACTTAATCAATTTAATTCACCTAATATTCATTAGATTAACCTCCCATCTGTGTCAGTCATAAAACAAAAATCATAATATCTCGACTAGAATTCTTCTATGTTTATAGAACTGTCAACTCCAATTTAACCTTCCAAAAATGAAAAGTATCCCAAAATGGAAACTTTCTGAAATCAGATGGAAGCATTCCAATTAAGACCGTACAACCTCTCAAAAATGCAGTTCTCTCAAATAATGAACATAGCAAGTAAATCAAGAAAACATGCAATAATTAAGATTATGCACACACACTTGGAGAATGCAAGAAGGGAAGAAAACTTACTTCCTATATGCTATTTTTAATGTACACACTAAGTATGGCATATATACATTAAACTACAATTATTTATACATGAACCAATTAAACTATATCAAAGGCAAATATAAACAAAGACAAACAATGAGTAAATGAGGCGTAAGATGCATTAAAATCATGCTATTATATCCAAACTAAATACGCAAAGCAAAAAGTGAACAAACATGGCATAACTAAGTATTGAAATCATGAAACATGCATTCTACACTAACTAGTCATTATCAAAAACGAAAATCATGATGAAAATAGTGAAAAACAGTGGGCAAGAGGATCACTAACCTCTAGTTTGTCAATCAAACTGAAAGAACCAGATGAAAAACCAAAACGGGTGGATCAACGGGTTCTTCCCTCGGGTAGTTTTGCCTTCACGTGCTGACATGAAGTTCTGTTTTTGGAGCTCTGCTCTCTTGAAAATGAGCTTTGGGCAATTAATTCCTCTGTTGTCGTGGTTTCCTTGAGCATTGCTTCAGTAATTCAAAGGTCATCAAGTTCTGTGTTTGTTGTGGAGGCCTCCCTCCACAATATACACACAGAAATCCAATATAATGTACCAAATAAACAATCAAGAATCAGATAAGCAGAATATAAACCATTTTTAACAAACAAAGAAAGAAAAAGGAAAATAAATTATTAGTTAAGCTGGACATTTGTGTTTTTAAATCAGGCATTTAATGAGAAATTCTTCTTATTGATTATGAATATGAAAAAGGAGAAATTGAGGACTTCAATGAGGATCTCACAGTAGAAATTGTTAACTAAATTGGACTTTAACTTGCCCAACGGAAATTGTTATAAGAAATATCCCTGCATATTAAAATGGAGGGAAAACATTAATATTTGTGTTAACTAAGAACTTTAAACAGCTTGCACAATAGCCTGTATTCTTTTTCCATGGACATTTAATAGGTTTAGATCCACTTATATTTCATCAATTTTTCTACTAGAGACTGGTAAACAGATACCTTAGATTATGTTTGTTGGGACAATCCCACATTGCCTGGGGGGACGGACTAACTTTACCTTCTAAGCGTACTAGCCCCTCAACCTGTTACAATGCGTTTTCCCCCGAGGAGGAACAAAGCCGTGAGGCCGACGGGGCTTTGCGCCCACCTCGCCAAAGCAGACAATATTGTGGCAGGCACGCGCATTTGGCGCTAGAGGAAGGGCTCATCTCTTTCCCCGTTGTTGCGGGCCCAGTCCGCTGGGAGGTTATGTTGGGGCAATCCCACATCGCCTTGGGGGACGGAGCGACTTCACCTTATAAGCATACTGGCCCCTCAACCTGTTACAACGCATTTTCCCCCGAGGAGGAACAAAGCCGTGAGGCCGACAAGGCTCCGCGCCCACCTAGCCAAAGCGGACAATATTTTGGCAGGCACACACAATGTTCATCATATCTTTTCCTATGAAAATTTTGTTTAGATACTCTACTTTTAGGCACCCTCGATTGGGGGGAGGAGGGAAAAAGCAATACTCCAATTAACACACTTAGGAACAACAGTTTCCTCTAGTAACCACTGAGCAAGAATCATGATTCATGAATAATCAGCTCACATAATTTTAACCACACATGAAGTTGCAGAAATCAAAGTGATAAACAAGAACCCAGATCAACCAAATTTTTCAAAGTTATATAAAAGTAATGAAGAAGAAGAAGAATTACAGGGACATGTGAGTCTGTCGGTTCCTATGAAGCACGGGTGCGGGTACGAGTACGGTACGGGTACGAGTACGGGTACGCCGATACGGCAAAACCCCAAAAAAGTAGGGTACGGGTACGGCTGCGGTACGCCGATATTTTTTTTTTATTTTTATTTTTTATAATTATGGTTAAAAGATCCCGGTGCGTGTACGGCACTATTTTTGAAGTACCCGTGCTTCATAGGTCGGTTCTCTTGGCATCAGAGGCAAAGAAGACAGTGTAGACAACTATGAAGCATGGATACGGACACGGGACAAGACACAGACGGGCGGACACGCAAATTTTAAAAAAATGGGGGACACGCCGTGCTGGGAACACGTTCAATATATATAATTAAATTTATTTATTATATGTCATAAAATTATAGAAAAAATCATTGAAAAGTAATAAAAAAAAAATACAAAATAACACTATTAAAATTATTATAAGAAAAAAAAACATTTCATTTCATTAAAAAAAAAAACATTTCATTAAAAATTGGTTCTTATAATAAAATTAATAAACACATCATTAAAATTAACAAAACTAATCAGCAAAAATAATAATAATAATAATAATCAAATAACAGAGGCTGAGGGAGAAAAGAAAAAATAAAAAAAAAATTGGAAAAAAAAAATATACAAAAGAAAAAAATAAATAAAAGTTGAAGATCAGAGCAGAAGAGAGAGTGACTGAGAGAGAGAGAGAGCTGCTAAGAGAGATGACAGAGAAGATCGGAGAAGAAGAATGAAGAAGATCGAAGTTGTACCTTGGATAACAGCAAGAGCAGCGACCACCAACGACTGACTAGCGAAGAGTTACCAGGTGTGCCCGACGAGCCCCTCTCTCTCTCTCTCTCTCTCTCTCTCTCTCTCTTATGTTCTCTCTATTCTGTTCGAATCTAGGTTAACAAATTGATCTATTTTTGTTTTTTACAAATTTACCCCCACAAAAAGTTCCATAAATTCTGAATTTCACCCCGCAATGTCCCGAACGTGTCCTGAATGTGTCCATTCTGGCTGCAAAAAATAAAAATAAAAACAGGGCACCTTCTGCTGCGTGTCCGTGTCCGACACTGATACGCAACCCTCAGAGAGGTGTCCGTGCTTCATAGGTAGACAAGGACAAAGGTGCCAACAATCTTAGGACCAAGGCCATCACCCTTGGTGTAACCATGTTGAGCAAAATTGGCCCCGCCATTATTGGCCCGATACAAGGAATGTTGGAAACCCTTGAACCAGCACCACAGATGGCACTAAGCCACTGCATCACCATGTAGAAGAGATCCCCCGTTGGAGACAACTTCCTTGCCAAAAACAATCCAAAGGTCACAACTAAATTAAGATATGTCATCCTGTTACAGTAAGTTTTGATCAGACAAATCTTGGCAGCATGGGCCAAAGTAAGGAGCAAAAAAGGAAGATGCAAAGACATAAGCAGCAAAATAGACAAGCTTTAATGAGCTAAATCTTAAACTATGAGGGTCAAAAGAAAAAAAAAAAAACCATAACTCTAAGCCATAGATATCCAATTTTAGACCAAGAAAAAGCACCAAGATGATACATTTTCCCTCATATGAATGCCTAACCCTCAAATATGGCTCAACCAACAGAGACACACAGATCCACTAGCCACCCATAACAATATTCAAAAAAGATAAAGAAAACAAAATAGTTATCAAACTCAGAGTGAAGAAACACAAAAACTGAAAAAGAAAAACCATAAATTCAACCTGAGAATAAAAAAATGAATTGGCAATCCTGTATTTAGTTTAATTTGCTTCTTATTAAACTAAGAATTCCTGTACCCAGGTCTATAAACTGAAGCAAGAGAGATATTACATCAACCTAAGACCAAGTAAAAGGTAAAAAAAAAGAAAAGCATTCACTAACACCCCCATGCGCACACGCGTGCGCGTGCGCACCAAAACCAAAAAAAAAAAAAAGAGCACACACTTGTTTGATTAGCAATTAAGTTAGAAATTAATAAAAATTGATGGAGTTCACAAAAGTACATGTCATATTTTTTTGGGCAAATAATACCAATAGTCCCAAAAGTTTCGCTTGTGTCAGTAAAAAATAAATAAATAAATAAAAGACGAGCACACACTTGTTAGATTAGCAATAAGTCAGAAATTAAGAAAAACTGATGGAATTCACACAAAGTATGTGTCATTTTTTTTTTTTTTTGGCAAATTATACCGATAGTGTTTATTTATGAGAAATTGAACTTAGGGTGCGATTAGGTTATCACCCCCTTTATATTAATAATACGAAACTTACATAAGAAGCCTCAAGGCACAATAAGGAAACCTACAACTAATGACAGCTAATTACAATAAAAAAAATATAATTACAAAGATATACTAACACTCCCCCTCAAGTTGGTACAAAAATGTCTCTCATTCCCAGCTTACTAAGAGCATCATGAAATGGTTTATTCCCAACTCCCTTGGTGAGAATATCAGCAAGTTGTTCGTCAGACTTCACAAAAGGAATACATATAGTGTCACTGGTGAGTTTCTCCTTAATAAAGTGTGGATCAATTTCAACATGTTTCGTTCAGTCATGTTGAACTAGATTGTAGGCTATGTTGATAGCAGCCTTATCGTCACAATATAGGCGCATCGCGTCCATCTGATCAATTCTCAAATTACTCAGCAACTTAATCCACAAAAGTTCACACATATTGTGCCATGGCCCTAAATTTTGCCTCTAAACTAGATCTTGCCACCACATTCTATTTTTTACTCCTCCAAGTAACCAAATTGCCCCCAACAAAGGTGCAATACCCCAAAGTAGACCTCCTATCAATGACTGATCCCGCCCAATCAGCATCGACATAAGCTTCCACTTTGAGATGATCATATCTGGAGAAAAATCGTCGCTTGCCAGGAAAAGACTTCAAATATCTAGGGAGTCTCATAACTGCTTCCAAGTGTGCCTCATGAGGGTCATGCATGAATTGACTAACCACACTAACACCCACAGCAATGTCAGGACGAGAGTAGGACAAATAAATGAGTTTACCTACTAGCCTCTGATATCTCCCCTTATCAACAACAACTTCTCCACTATCTCCCCTTATCAACTCTACTTCCAAGCATTCTAGTTTCTTTCAACAAGTCAAGAACATACTTCCTTTGACAGATAAAAATCCCATCTTCAAATCGGGCTACCTCAATGCCCAGGAAATACTTCAGAGTTCCCAAGTCTTTTATTTCAAACTCTTGTGCCAAATATTCCTTCAACCGGGGCATTTCCTCAACATCATCGCCTGTAAATGTTAGGAAATTAAGGAGCCCACAAGCACATAGCAATACCGGCTCAATCCATTAGGGAGAAACTCTATATCCACAAACGCCATGTCAAGACCTAACATACATTATTTGGAACTCATACCCACTAAAAAGCTTCAGCCTATAAGTAGAGAGCCCATCTAATATATATTAACTATTAAGACTCATCTCTTTTACCCTTTATCTAATGTGGGACTCTACCTTCACACATGCCCCAACAATCTCCCCCTCATGTGTGAACCAAACATTAGGCCTCTCCATGCTCCCCCTCGAGTCTTGATCTATAATCAGCAAGTTCATCGTAGATCACTACACACTCCCCTTAATCTTAATCTATAACTCTCCAATATCGAGTTGGGCCACCTGCACGCACTCCATCATGAGCCACCACATTCCATTGAGAGCCATCTTGTCACGGTCCAACCTTGCCATGTGCACCAGTAATTTTCTTTGCTCCATCAAGAGTTATCATAAATTTTTCTTACTCCATCAAGAGTTTTTGTGCAAGCCCAAACCCACCAACATCAATGTTCCAGGAGAGTCCACCCATAGATCATCTACCATCTAACACCAGTTGTTAGAGAATTAGGGAGACCACAAGAGTACAGCAGTACCGATCCAATCCATTAAGGAGAAACTCTAAAGTCCACACACGCCATATCAGGGCCCAACATACATTATTTGGAACTTATACCCACTTAAAAGCTTAAGCCTATAAGTAGAGGGCCCATCTAATGTATATCAAAACTCATCTCTTTTACTCTTTATCCGATGTGGGACTTTACCTTCACACATTCTCCAACAGTAAACACCATGTCATTCACATATACAATGAGAGTCGTAGTCTTATTATGTAAGGAATGCTTAATAAATAAAGTGTGATCAGCCTGACTTTGTTTGAAGCCATTTCTAAGCATTGGTTGAGTAAATCTCTCAAACCAAGCTCTTGAAGACTGTTTGAGGCCATACAAAGATTTTCGAAGCCTGCACACCTTACTTTTTGTTGACGGTCTTCAAAACCAAGAGAAATGTTCATATACACTTCTTCTTCTTCTAGATCACCATGCAAGAAGGCATTTTTCACATCAAACTGGTCAAGGGGCCAATCCAAATTAACTGCAAGAGAAAGGAGTATCCTAACTGAGTTCATTTTTGCAATTGGAGCAAATGTCTCTTGACAGTCAACTCCATAGGTCTAAGTAAAGCCCTTCGCACAAGCCGAGCTTTATAACGCTCAATCGAACCATCTGCCTTGTGCTTCACAGTATACACCCATTTGCATCCAACAGATCGTTTGCCCTTAGGTGACTCTGTCAATTCCTAAGTACCATTCTTACGAAGTGTTTTCATCTCTTCTATCACGAAAAGTTTCCCCTCAAAGGTGGCAAGAGCATCCTGAAAATGGTTAGGTATACTGACAGAGGAAATCTTTGACACAAAGGCTCTATATGAAGGGGATAAATTAGAATAGGATACAAAGTTAGAGATACGATTTTGAGTACAAGACCTCACACCCTTCTGTTTGGCAATAGGAATATCAAGATCTGTATTTTCAAGAAGAACAGGAATTTCAAAGTTACCTATACTCTCATTAGTACAAAGAGACGGTAATGGAAGATTAGAAGAAGTGGTCTCTTGGATCTAAGTAACCTTTTGTCTTTCTTTGTCCCTGACATAGACCTTCCCTTGCTCCTTGAATGTATTTGATTCTGTATTCCCAATAGTTGGTTCATAATCTGGTTCACAGGTTACATCTTCAGCAACCAAAGCAACCGGTAATGATCCAAGAATCTCTTCACACCAAGGCTCCCCCTAAAAGAGGACAGGGAAATAGGAGAGGACAAAAAAGTAGGACCGTAACCCAAAGAATGTGGCATCCATGGACATAAACCACTTACGAGACGGAGAATAATAACACTTATACCCCTTTTGAATAGGCGAGTAAACAAGAAAAATACATTTAAGGGAGCGAGAATCCAACTTACCACGAAGAAGGGAATGATTGTGGACAAAATAAGGCACACCCAAAGATTTTTGGGGAAATGGAAAATACTAACTAAAAGTCTAAGAACACCTGAAGAGGAGCTCACTTGTGCAACACTTGGGTAGGAAGGCGATTGATAAGATAGGCAGCAATGAAAACAACTTCACCCCAGTAAGACCGAGGCACATGCATAGAAAAAATCACGTGACAAAGGAGACGACGATTCTTGCGTTCCGCAACCCCATTTTACTGAGGGTATTGGTGCAAGATGGCTAATGAATAATGCACGGGTGCTAAAATAGTTCCCTTCCCTAACCCAAATCAATATACTCACCCCCATTATCATAATGCAAAACTTTGACAACCACACCAAATTGAACACGGATCATCTAATGGAAAGTCCAGAATACAGAGGAAACTTCACTCGTCTTTCTTAAGATATACCCAAGTAGTACAAGAAAAATCACCAATAAATGTGACAAAGCATCTATGACCTTTCAATGAAACAACACAAGATGGACCCCAAATATCATAATGAATTAATGAAAACGGAATTAAACTTTTATTAAAACTAGGAGAAAAAGAAGCTCTATGTTGTTTGCCAAGTTGACAAGACCCACAATTAAACTCAGAAACGTTAGTGTTCCTAAAAAACGAAGGAAATAAATGCTTAAGTAACAAAAAAGATGGATGTCCAAGACACTGATGCCATAACCAAATGTCCTATCTGGTGGTCGGAAACTAGATGGAATGATGAGCCAATATGTCTGCCTGATCCAGGATATAGAGACCATTCTCTACTCTACCACTACTAATCGTCCTCCTCATGATAAAGTTCTGAAAAATACAATGAATATGAGAAAAAGTCACACTACAATTCAAGTTCCGGGTAAGACGACTCAATGGCAAAAGATTAATAGAGAAGTTTGGGACATGTAAAACTGAAGATAAAGGTAGAATAGGTGTGGCATGGATTAAACCTTTCCCAACAACATAAGAGGCAGTACCATCAGCAATCCTAACTTTGTCCTTGTAAACACAAATTTTGAAACATGAGTGTTTCAATACATTTCAAAGTTCATGTCACAAATGTCCACTATTTAGTTTTTTGGACTAAACAATGTTGCTAATTTGAATAGTAGGTTCCTATTTCTGATCTGCATGCCAGATCGCTAATTACACATTTTAATTAAATGAAACATCCGATTAATGAAGAAAAAAATTAACATAAAAAAATTTAAGGAAAAGAAATATTTTATTGAAATTGTTGTGGGCTTGAACCCTTGAATACAAAGTACAATTCATGGGCTTGGAATCCTTTAGCTATTGATCGCCATTATGCGTTTGTAGCGTAAGCTCCTGAGTTCTCCCTATTTCTCTTCTTCTTCCTTATGCTGACTTCTTTTACTTGTGATTTCTCTCTCTCTCTCTCTAATTTCTGATTCCTGATCCTTTGATTTTTTCTATTGATTTTCGATCCCTTCTCTTGTGTGATGGTCCTCATATTTATAGCGTCATCCATGTGATAAGAGTGCCTCATTTTCAACTAGAATTTCAAATTAAATGATAATGCCACTTGAATTTGGCATCATCATATCTTATTAACCGTACGAATCCTTTGGGTTTCATCCCATGTGGTGTCCTACGTTACACGGACTCGAGTACGAGTGTCGGGTTCGGATATGCATCTAGGAGTTAGACTCGTCAAATTCCTAAATGAGGGATACGTGGGTACGTCTAAAAAGTACTCAAAAATTAAATACGAGTACATGGATACGGCTAAACAAAAATTAGTAAATACATTTAAATTGTAAAATAAAATTCACTCTAAAATTATGTGCCAACAAAATAGATAATTCATAAAACAACTACCAAATGTAACTTCATTACATGCCACAAAAATAAATTATCCAAAAAAAATATACCAAAAATAAATTATCCAAAAAAAATATACCAAAATAAATTATCCAAAAAACATAATATCCCAAAAGGTTCATGCATATAGTTCTTGAAATGAAAAAACACAATTTCTTTGAAGTCTTCTACTCCTAGACTAAGAATAGATGACTACAAAGAAACTAGTTGACTAACACCCTTCTTCAATTGGTTGAATCTTCAGGAACAAGTTGCTGACTTTCATTATCATCATCAAAAGTCATTGTTTGCATCTACGGATCATCAAGGGAAAGTTGTGCTAGCTCCATCATTTCACGCCCTTCTATATCAAACAAATCTCCACCTTTAAGGGGAAAAAAACATACAAAAATCATTTTTGGCAGGTCATAAATAATACTTGCATTACTATTTATTTCATTGAAAGTGAGTGAACTTACATATGTCCCAATATTTTGTGGGTCCTTCTCTATACTCCTTGCTCTTCCTTGACAATAGGCAAAGATTGCAATGCACAAACACTAGGTCTTCAGCTCTGCTTGTCACTAGTCGATTTCTCTTAACGCTTTGAATTATAGAATATGTACTCCAATTTCTCTTGCAACAAGAGGAAGATGCTGGCTACACAAGCAATTTAAAAGTCAATGCTTGCATTGATGGTGTGAAAGCACCATGATTGGCCCACCATGAAAGAGGTTTTGTCAAACATTCTTGCATCAATGACATGAGGCTAGTTGAAATAATCTAACCCACTAGAAAAGGCTCCATATTCAGCATAAACTTTCCGTAAATCAATTTGATTGGTAAACAACCTCTTCAAACATTTGCTTCTATTCATGGAGACTTCATGATCCTCATGTGGTGATATTCATGGAACTCCATTACTACCATCTTGGAGCCAAACATGAAAGGGGTATTACTTCTGAAACCAATGAATGCGCCATACAATGTAAAGTGGTATTACTTTTTTGTTCCATCTAGTCTCCAAAATTTGGTGAATGACATTAAAGAAAGTTTATTGACCAACAATTATGTCTATCCCTTCATGGTCAAAGATGATTTTTTTTCACATTTTCAATCATGGTATCGCGCATGTCATCTACTAGATGTAAAACTAGAGTCTGTGTCTGCTTGCCTTAACATGTCAATGATAGGTTTAGTAAAACTTATAAGGTAATCTATGTTGTCCCACCATGAGTCATCCACAATGCATTGTTTTACCTCACGAGCTTCAATCTCAGCCACACTATTGTCGTCTTCCCTATAAGTTTTTCAGTTTGCATCCATCACCATTTTCTCAAGGGATGCCCTAACATCATTTAAACATAAAGCCATGATGATGTTGGATGCAAACCTGGTTTCTACCACACTTAACAATCTCAAACTAGAATAATCATTAAAAATAGACAATGTCATGCTATGGTTGAGAATAAAATTGCGAATATTCAGCACCATAAAATTAAGAATATTCTATATTGTGGATGACTCATGGCGAATTTTATTCTCAACTGTAAAAATTCAATGTATAAAAAAGAAAAAGAGAATTGTATTATTGATTGATATATGTTGTTGTATAGATCTTTATTACAATGATTCATGATTCCTATATATAGAAGAGGGTGAGTGTGTAGTAGGTAAGGAGTAGATGAAGTGGAGGTGGTAGTGGTGTAGTGGGTTAGGTTTAGTGGAGTAGGTGAGGTGGTAGTGGTGTAGTGGGTTAGGTTTAGTGGAGTAGGTGAGGTGGTAGTGGTGTAGTGGGTTAGGTTTACTGGAGTAGGTGAGGTGGTAGTGGTGTAGTGGGTTAGGTTTACTGGAGTAGGTGAGGTGGTAGTGGTGTAGTGGGTTAGGTTTACTGGAGTAGGTGAGGTGGTAGTGGTGTAGTGGGTTAGGTTTACTGGAGTAGGTGAGGTGGTAGTGGTGTAGTGGGTTAGGTTTACTGGAGTAGGTGAGGTGGTAGTGGTGTAGTGGGTTAGGTTTACTGGAGTAGGTGAGGTGGTAGTGGTGTAGTGGGTTAGGTTTACTGGAGTAGGTGAGGTGGTAGTGGTGTAGTGGGTTAGGTTTACTGGAGTAGGTGAGGTGGTAGTGGTGTAGTGGGTTAGGTTTAGTGGAGTAAGTGAGGTGGGGTGAAGATCCACAAGAATTCACACACACCTTGTGCCATAACTCTAAACTCAGTTTTTGCACCCGATCTAGCCACCAATTTTGTTTCTTACTCCTCCAAGTAACAAAGTTGCCGCCCACAAAGGTACAATATCCTGATGTAGATCTCCTATCAGTTATTGATGCTGCCCAATCAGCATCTGTTTAGGCTTCCACTCTAAGGTGATCATGTTTGGAAAAATAAAGGCCCTCTCTAGGAGAAGATTTCAAGTACCTCAGAATTCTCATAACAGCTTCTAAGTGAATTTGATGAGGAACATGCATAAACTGGCTAACCATACTGACAGCAATAGCAATATCAGGACGAGAGTGAGATAAGTAAATAAGCTTACCCACTAGTCGCTGATAACTCTCCCTATCAACAACTGCTCCTCCTTCATCATCACCAAGTTTCTAATTAGGTTC